GTTAAACTACAGCTCTGCTTCCTGGTCTGCACCCTGGGTGGTCAGGGTTTTGGAGGACTAATAAAGATATACGGCCCTTGTCAGTCAAAGACAGCCAAATGGCAGCAACATCCCCTCCAACTTCCAGCCACTGGCCTTCTGATGGGTGTGCAAATGTTTCTTACTCTGACTCCACGCTTTCACTGAATTACAGGGTCCGACCAGCAGATAATGCCTCTCTTCAGATCTTAATGTCCACAAATCTTGACTGAAATAATATCTAATATGTTTAAATAGAAATTGTAGGGGACCAGCCAAAGGCCAATCAAAGGAAAGTGGGGGAATTTTTAATGGCTACTACACAATGGCAGCCCACTGTTAACCCAAGGGGATGTGTTACAGTAAATGCAGATATTTAGGGATTGTGGCCTAGTGGTTGGGCATAGAGCTTGGAATCCTGAGGTTCTAACTTTGAGTCCCACTCCCACGGACTGCTACTCTGGGTCCCTGAGCAAAGACCCTTAACCCCACACCGCTCCCCGGGAGCCGCACAATGGCGGCCCATTGCTTCCCAAGGGAATAGGTTAAATGCAGAGTAAATTTAGTTGCTCTGTACTTGTGACAATGAGATGACAATAAAAAAGCTGGAAATGTAATTGTGTAGAAATGCAGAAATTGTGTGTAAATGTAATGGTGTCACAGCCAAACAAGAACAGACCAGATGAGAAAAAGCAGAGAATTCATAAAGTTAGTGGTTGAACTAACTACTACTGCAGAATGGGAGAATAGAGATTAAATTAAAAGGGGTCCCTATGTCCTACAGCAGTCTAAGCCACAGCAGCATGAAGGGGGCAAAGCACCTTTTCCCCCTTTCAACTCACTTTACATCAGACATGATCTGGCTATTACTGTATATAAGGGCCGTTTCTCAATATGTGTACTAGTGCATTCTCATGTCCTCATAGAACATCATCAGCCTCAGGCCAGCACTGTTCCAATTCACAAGAACACAAGACTGAAAACTGACAAGGTCCCTGGATCTATTCCCCACGTATGCACCGCAGAAGCATCTTCCAGGTTAGCGCTCAGTATTCTAGCTGGTCAAACTTCACGGGTCGTTTTCCGCAATCGCGGTCATAAAAATGAAAAAGCCGGCCTCCTTTCTGCCGCACTGTCTGCGTTCATCTACAATTTGGTAGAGGTGCAGCGGAGTGTTTTTGTGAAAATTGACACCGATCTAGCTCCATACAGTTTTGGTATGCTGGTAAAGATTCTCAATCATCCAGGTCATAGTCATTCTAAAAAAGTTAAAAAAAACAAACCACTGTACTTTGTTTTCCAAGTTTGAAGACGTTTTGCTTCCCATCCAGGAAGCTTTTCAATTCAGAATGTGTGGATTAGCGTTAAGTTCCAAGCTTTATAGAGTAACCCAACAACGCCTTGTTGTGGTTTAGAAAACATGCAAACTGAACCAGAAGAACAGGTCCACACCTTTGTAAAAGGAAGTCGTTGAGATATTTGTTGGCCTGCAATATCCTATACTGGCCCATGCCTCTGAAAAGAGAGTTGTTAGGATAATTGTTGGCCTGGCCGACCAGGCGAGATGTTTTGGTCCCCAAATAGCGATGGGGGTTTAGATGAAGCAGGAAGGAATCAACTCTATTGCTGCGTTTTAGGTTTTTGAGAGACGGAACCTGAGACCACCAGGTTGTTTTTTCTCTCTTAACATAAATTGCTTCCTTCACACCCCTTTCAAACCACATTTCCAGTGGTTTGATTTTTTTTTACTTTTTTTAAATACAGCTTTTTGACCTTCAGTGTGAGACTGACCAGAGCAGAAAAACTGGAAAGAAGAACTTTGCAAACAGCGAGTATTTCCTTTTTTCTACTCGTGGAAAGCCTTGTGCATACATTATTACATTCAATTTTAGCATTTTACCAACGACATCATTTCATCAAATGTCTGGGGGGGGGGGATTTCAAAATCATCCTGGATTTTAGTCGACTCCCTGAAACACATTACATATATAGC